CCTGTGAGGGCTGGTTATAAGCGTAACGTCCAACCATTTTAATTCGCCCAGTTTATCCCCTGCCCCACGTTAACCACCTCCCACTCTTCGGTAAAATATTGGGGAGTGGGTGGTAAATTAGGGGAGGGGATGAGGAAGGGGATGTGGGGGGATGTGGAAGGGCGAAGGGTGAATGTGTGTGTAACCAGGGATAAGGATAGGGGTGTGGGGGTTGTGAAAGTTAGGGGAGAGAGGGAGGGATTGCACACGGGGATGAACTTGTTCGCTTGGGTTCTAGTTTTGCAGAACGCTGCAAAAATAGAGTAAACGTTTCACATTTGCAAAAATAATCATTTTTTCATGGTTATTAAAATAAAAAAATTGGTTCATATATATCGAAGCAAAAACAATTGATCTTAATTGATTTTAATGGAATATAATGGATTTTTGATTTTTGAAATTTTGGTGCCCCCCCCCCCCCTCAAAATTAGTACATATTTGCGCCGAAGCGCCTTTAGAAAACTTTTAAGGTCCGTCACCAAAAATGGATATCTCAAAATAGTTCAAAAGCGGGACTATTTTGAAAAATGCGTCCGCCCCCCTCCCCCCTTTAAGTCCGCCCCTGCTAAAACCTGAACTAATTTCTGTTTGTGGGCGAGAAACTTTTGAACTCTTTGTGTTTTTGAGGGAGAATTGGAGATTCTAAATTCCAAATTTCATTTCAGTTGTTCTATTTACGAAGATTCTCAGGCAACCATAAACCCTAACTGTAAATCTTCGATAGAAAGATCAAAACTATCCTTGAAAACAAAATTTTCCCATTTTTGATTTGCTAACCCGTCTTGAATAGTTTCACTAATCCTATGTCAAAGTTGCAGCCGTGATTCAGAAAAAAAAACAGAGAAAACAGAGAAAACGACAAAAACTTGGGGAAAAATCTTCTCTTCATTGGTTGAAAACTCAAGTTTCAAGTTTTGGCCCTCGATAGTTCAAACACAACGTACAAACGCAACGTACCTTGCTCTCTTTCAATTCCACAGCAGTCGAACTTGAGTTGGAGGAAGTTCCAGGCGATGGAGTCTGCCCCAGTTGAGTTCTCCCCTTTGTAGTGTTCCATTGATGAGTCCATCTGGCTAGACAAGAAAGATTCAACTTCTGAGCTGTAGGCCAAATAGTAGCTGGCCACTGCGACTAGAACAGAATGTAGTGTAAGAGATATGTCAAAATATGGATATTTTAGAAAGTAAAACTGATTGAATATTTTTTTTAACCTATTCTTCAGAACTTATACCGTTGAAGAACATTTTAAGGACAAAATTTTCACATTTAGTTCAATTACATTCCAGATTAGTGCTGCTTCAATGTTGTTTCAAACTCGATGTTGTTTGAAATGTTGTTTCAAACATAAAATCGCATTACTGCATCAGACTGCTTACAGTGCCGCCATATCTCATAAAAAAAGATTTAAAGTTTGCAGTACTGCAACGAAACTGAGAAATCACTGGAAGAGCGCTAATTTTCTCTCCTCCATAAATTATTTAGAATACGGTGCAGATCTTTAAAAAACTTATAAGTACATCAGAGAGTACAATTGATAGCGAAAAGCAAAACTTCTAGATTGAAAAAATTATCCGACGTGTTGCAGGATTTATAAATTGATATAGTTTTCACGGTTTTTCAGCTTGTGAAAAGTTCATTCCACGACGATTAAAACTGTTTAATTTCGCAAGAAATGATTCCTTACGAGTTAATCAAATGAAAAAGTAACTTTTACTTTTATAACTCTTATAACTTTACTTAATTTACTTTTACAATAATTGGAATACCTCGTATAACCTGGACTGCCTCCTTGCAACAAAATTTGTCTTCCAATTTGTTTTTTTTTTAGTAAAAAACATGCACCAATTTTTGAGAAGTTTTAGAAAATCTGATCATGGTTTAAATGAAGATCGTGAAAGCAAAGTTCTATTGCGTTTTTTGTTATCTGATAGACGGAGAAGGTTTTAGAAGAGAACGACAGATTCACCATAATTGATTGTTCTGGTTAAACAGAGTACACAAAACTGTAGTGATAAGATGTATTTCAGAGAAGAACTTAGAAGAAATTTTTTTTAAGAACCAACATTTTTCGTCATTTTTTTCTTCGTTTGAATCCTTAACTTCGCGTTTTTTAAATCCCTTTACGGACTTGCTCGATGACGAGATGAAATTTTTTCATTAGAAATTGAACCAGAAAACAGGTTAAAATGAGTTCCATTGATTTTGTCAAATCATTCGGAACTGCATTCATAGGGTGAGTTAGGGCACATCTACTTCCTTTTTTTCCAAATGACTAATTGAGATGAAGCAAAGCATTTCTGTGGAACTTTTTTTACAAATCTGATTCAAATCTTGACGCACAGATGCGAGCTTCACAAATGATCAAGACAAAGTATTTTGGATTAAAATGTCTGGGATGATAGGAGGATAATTTTGGCTGGTCACGCTGAACTGGGATGCTCAATTATAAAAGGGCAAATAATAAAATTTAAAAAAATGTTCCACAACATATATAAAATTTTACTTTTTTTTATAAATTCCTTTTAGATATGCAGATTATATTCTAATAAATCGCTATTGGACACAATTTTTCTGTTTTCAGTCGTCTGGCGGCTTAAACTTAAATCTAACCAATTTTAAGTTTTTTTTTCAGTTTCAATTTTTATACACAAATTCAATTTTCCACTCCGACTTGTATGATAATTAACCGAATAGATTTTTCTTTATAATTATATATACTATAAATAATAAATATATATAAAGGGGCTGATTTAGAGGGGAGGGGCGGACGGGCTCAAGATATTTTTTTGTCAACTTTAGTTTTTTTGTCAAAAGACACATACTTACATTCAATTACAGTAAGAATTGTCAGGAAAAAGGCAAATAGCTTCAAAGTGCATCCCGACTGTCTCAGGGCACCACACAGACCCAAACAAGACGTCACCAGAAGGACCCCAAAAGTAGACAGGACAAAAATGCCCAAATTTGAAGTAGTCTTCAGCAAAATTATAGCAGATATGTTTTTAGCACAACTTTTTATTTAATACGCAGAAACGTTTTGAAAACTCTGTTCGTCCGATAGAACTCAACTTTGAAACAATTGATTGCCGCATTTTGACAAACATCGTTTTATTTAAGTATCGAATTCAATTTTAATGTTTTTAAAGCTTTTCGTTGTTTGAATTTTTCGATAGTCACCGTCAAATATATCTGCTTAATTTTGACCTGAGAGTTTATAATTTCAGACAATTCATCTATGTTGTAGGCGAATAGCAGAACACAAATGAGGCCGATTATTCCGAGCGTCATCAGCATAACAATAATAGTGAAGATTATTATAATAGTTCGCGATAATCGGAGGTGTTTTCCGGATAAACTTGTGGGGTCAACTTTGGTTCCCATTTCTGTGTAATTATATTGTTTATTACTTTAATAGCTAAAAATGACACCTTTGTGGCCAAAAAGGTGACAAGCTCGGCAAAAATAATGATTACCAAACCCTTAAAATACGCTTTTTCTCATAAATAAATCATAGAAAAGCTGAAGCGTGATGTTTTATAACCGCAACAAACGCAAATGCCGGAATTAATAAATAAATTTAGCTTGTGTTTTTTTCAATAAAAAAAATAAACATGGATACACGGTAACTCGCCAAATTTAAACTACATAGATGGTTAAAGCTTCCATTTCTATTTTTTCTTATAATAGAGGCTAAATTGTTTGACTAGATAATAAAATGCTCAAAATAAACATAACAAAATGCGGTGGATGTGTGGAATTTATTATTTCCTGTTTTTCGATTGAAAAGTAATAGCGTGCCTGTTTAAACGTTGGAGGTTTGACTATGCATTGTAAAAAACACATTCTCGTGTTTTTTTTTCAATTTATATTTAAAAAATTGGGCATGCCATTAAGTAACAGGATTTAAAATTTTAAAATGTGTTATACTTCTATGCGGTTTGCCTTCTAAAAGATGTTTTATAGGTATATAAGAAGTATACAAGAAAAATACAAGAGGTATACAGATTTTTTGCCTAAGGGTGGAGATTAGGAGCAGTTTTTGGACAATTTTGTCATCTTTTACTAAATTCAGCTACTTCGAGCTCATTTTTTTCTAGCTCTATCGAAGTGTAGAAGACCTATTTAATCATATTCGCAGTGTTTGGTTGAGGTTTGGTTTAGATTTTTTTTACTGTGAAAATTCCAACGATAATCCCAAACTTATTTTCTGCTTTTCAACTTTATTTTTAGACTTTATTTTTATTTTTATTGGTCTCAGTCTTTTTTGAAGTTCCTCATTTGTGTTAACGTGCACAACCACTCTCTAAAACTAAAAAATTTGACATCTATGCAGAAAAATTGTTCCGAAGGAGGAACTCTGCCTTCGGTGTTTTCTTAGGTTTTTTGAAGTTTTTTCTTTTCACGCAAAATCCAAAAATAAATAATGGGCTAAAGGGATCGAGTGATTTGTCATATGAAAAACTTTATTGTGTTAATTGTATCAAATTTTGATCAAATAAAAATCCGAGCAGGTCTATCACACGGAAATAACACGTACATACTCATTTTTTTTCAGGAGTTTTAATTTTTGAAGCTTACAATAACGCCTTTGTGACAACAAAAAACTTGTGAACTGCTCAAAAAGAAAACCGACAAAAGATAGAAACAAAGGAAAAAAAAAGTTTTTTTTTTAATATATATATTTTTTTCGATTACTTTTTGATAAAATCTGTTATCAAATATGCGTATTTCACTTTTACTCTCAAGTGTGACTGTTGCTAGGCTTTTTTTCAGAGCCGCCCCGTAGTCGAAGGAACAAAAAACATCGCATTTTGCCGGAAAAAAATCGTTTTGTGAAGTTTTTTGTTATGTTGTTGTCGGAACTATCTGTGCTACTTGCACAACAACCGACTATCCTTGTTACTTCTGGCTTAGTCCAAAGACCATAATTTTATCATGTTTTCATTTAATTTGTGGTTTAGGTCTTCTCAGAGGGTCACCTGGAAGAGACGGGGCTCCGGGACCCCCTGGACCACAAGGTCAGCTGAAATCTCCTACTTCGAACTATTACAGTGCTGGTTTAAATTATCCGGACAAAACCAAGCAAAAATTGAAAATTCAAACGCGTTTTTCTCGATATTAGTTAAAACAAAACAAAAAGTTTTACCCTAAAAGTGGGTCATTTTTGCTTTTTTATAGTTAATTAAAAATTACGCTGAAGCTATCGAGTTATCAAACGAAGCCTCTTATACATTCCAATACAATTTTAAAATTGTATAGTTTCAAAAATTTGCAATTGGTTTTTGAACAAAGACCAAAAACGTATTATTTCATAGAGATTTGTAGAATTTGAATCCTTCTGGAGAGTAGGTGGCTGAAGAGGCTTTTTTTTAATATAAAAAACTGCACTATACTATTTCTGGTGAAACTCTTTGCAATTTTTTTTCTTCACATTTTGTCTAATTTTAATCCAATTGGAGAAAACGCGTTTGAATTTTCGAATGTTGTTTGTTGTGTTTGTTTAATTTAAATCAGCACATCACTTAAAATTTAAAAAAATCGAACGAAATCTTTTGAGAAATAATTAAATAAAATAGCAGTTTTTTGCTTACAAAAAACAGCAAATAGATTATTTTTTAATCTCCAAATTGACATATGCTATTTGGCACACTGACTAAGAAGGTATTACAAGTATTTAATACTTTCTTACATATTTTTCTCACAGAACCTTAGTACATAAAATCACCCTTTACCCTTGAAAATGATTACTTAAATCTTTGTTATGTGTCATCAGGGTAGGGGGTTAAATAACATGATTTTAAAAACTGAATTCGAATCTTTTGTACTTCAGTATAACAGTTGGTTTTTGTTTCAGGCGAACGTGGACCTCAGGTATTAAAACCATTACTATTGTTACCATCAATATTAATGTTCAAAAATTGAGCAAATCAGGAGATATCTGCGATGATATCTAAAATTTGCCTGGATACTGAGCCATGTATTGTTTAGGGGCCACGTGGTTTTCCAGGACTGAGAGGCGAAAAGGGAGAACAAGGAGAAAAGGCAAGTTTTTAAAAAAAAATTTAACGAATTCTGAGAGACATTTCAAAAAATTTCTGACGAAATGCTTGACAACAACAGCAATTTTTTATTAAAGGGCAGCCTTGTGATATAACTATTAGGGCGTCCTCAGCCCAAAAAATAATAGATACTTCGCTCGAACAAAAATAATGGAATTTATTTGGCTTAGAGTGCATCGGAGTTATTGTTCCGACCAACCCTGTAAATGGGAACTAATTATAGTATGATCTGTTTTTTTTCCAGCCGATGTTGACTACCTCCACGAACGCTCGTAAGACTTCAAGTGTCGTACCATATTAATGACCATTCAGCCGTGATAGGAATTCTGAAATGTTGTAATTATGTCGAGAAAAACTATCAATTTTTTTGCGTAACTTGATCCAACCTAGATAAACCCTAATAATTAGATTGAACTATGGACTAGGTGTTTCTTTTTTCAAACAAAATCCTGTCATTAAAGAACCCGTGTAGAGCTTTGAGTGCGGTATCATCCTGGGTAGCGCGAAAATTCGTAACAAGCGAAAATTCGATTTCGGAACGAGGGACAATGCGTTACAAGCGACAAATCGTAACAAGCAACAACAATATTGAGTTATGACTGGAGTGTATAACTCATAGAGTAATTTCGGATAGGGTACACCGTCTGCTCGTCACGCTATCTTATTTTCGGCCGGATAGATTCGTGCAACTTCTTAGTCTAATACCGATCCTAATCTTACTCTTATACTATCTAGTCTCAGGTTGTTTAACTAGTCTCTGCTAGGCTCAATAGATCTAGGGTATACTGGTTTATTGCGGCTGCTGAAGTGCTCGGGAGAGTCCAACTAATTTCTAAGTTAAATTCAAATCTCTCTGGTGCTGAAATTACAAGTAACTTCAGCACTTACAAATAAGTGGGTTGTTAGTTAGATGGATCATGATTGGTTAATATTAAATACTTTACATTGGTAAAATATCTAATTTATCCAATCATAAAATGTAGTTTAGATCAGGTTCCACCCATCCGGGTTTTACAGAGTTTTTTAGAATAGTTCTTCTGCAATTCGAAGGATGGATGATGGACGTTGGTTTTTGGCGAACATCATTTTCTTCCGTTTCCTCTTTGTTAAAGAAGTTCCAGGAAGCTGGAGTTAGAGACATAAGACGTTGTGTCTTCTAGTGACAACGACTAAGTCTTTGCAACAAACTCAAATCTGATTTCAGAATGGTTGGCTATGTCAGGTTTTTCTGTTCTGCGTGGAGAACTTCTTTTGTGTCTGATCTAGTTTGGGAATGGCGTGGAGATTGTGCGTGGAGGGGATGCCTGGTTACTCGGATCTGTACGTATACTTGAACATCGAGGTGGTCATTGGTCTAGTTCAATGAAGTCCTTTTCTGCGAAGTCAAGTCGTACTCTAAATCCTTTGAGTTGTGATTGTGAGTGGCATATCGATTGTGGTTGGCCATTCTCTCTCGAGTGTAGTGGGGTCGTTTTGTCTTTAGATGTTCGTCCTTGGTGTTGTATTCTGATCTATGTATTGCATAATGTAATTTACATTTTATAAAACATTTATTAGTTTAATATTTTTTAATTATGATTTTAGTTAGTTGTTTTCACAAAAGCTTTTTGTTTTAGTTCGGTTATTTTGAAGAGTTACTCACCCTTGAGTAGCTCTTATTAAAAATAGAGGTGTGGTCACAAAGCGTGGATGTAGCGCGGTGGGTTAGGCCGGCTATAGAGCATGCTCAGGACGTCCTTCCTGGTGGGTTAGGCCAGGAGTGGGAGTATGATTTCATGCGGTTTTTGTGAGGGGTCCTGTTATGTGACAACGTTTTATGTTGGGTTTGTTGTGGTTTTTCTTATGTTTTGTTGGTTGTGTCCTTTTTTCAAAAATCAAATTGTTCGTGGTATGGGTTTGTCTTTCGACTTTTTTGTGTTTTATTATTTCTTTCTTAGACTTTATAATAGTCTTCAAAAGAATAAATTATCCAGTTTTAAACTGGGTTAATCCGGTTTGGGTACCGTTGGTTTCCTTTTCTTAGTCATGCTGTTATTCTATGATTTGTGGTATTTAGTAAGCTGCGTTGGTTAGTTTTGTTTAGTATATGATTCCTTTCCAACCGGGTTAAAGGAAAGTTTGAAACATGTTATTATATGTTAGAGTTGTTGAGTGTGAAAACTTGAAACTGAAATTCATTATTTTAAACAATTCTTCGTGGGCGAGCTGTGCGAGTGTGGATAGAATTTCTGTGCGAATGAATTGAAATATCAAAAGGTTAGTACTGCATTTGATTCTTATTAATTTACTACATAGAAATGTAAATTTACTGCTAGTTATGGGGGAATTTTAAGTTACAAATTTTCATCATAATTAGATTTACTGCTTGTGGGGAAAATTTTAGAAATGAATTTACTGCATTGGTATTAAATTTATAAATTTATAAGTGTAAGAGATTAATAGAATTTTTGAAATCTGTTTGATGAAATTTGCGATTTTTATTTGTCTTTTGTGGTTTTTGTAGGTGATTGTCGGATGAAGGCTAAAAATCTAAAGAAAACATGGATAAAGTATGGTGAGTTTTTTAATATTTTAATTAGTTAGTAATATTCATTTAATTCATACTTACCTGTTAGTCGTCGGGGAAAAAACCGTGGGGGAAGATGTCGTGGATGAGATCGGAAGTTGTTAGTAGTTTAGCTAAGATGCGGATGATATTTTTAGTCTGAAGCAGTGGCCAAAGCAATTGAAGTGCCTTAATAGTGGTTAGTTCTTCAGTGCCAACTGCAAACTCATAAGGTGTGTTTTGGATTAGATTATATAACTTGTGATTGAATTTAGTGTTGTGGATGAATTCTAAAATGGGGATTTCTATAGGTTGAACAAACTCGTGCGGGATAAGGAAGGGTCGGGATTCTTCGGCGTTGAAGGTCTTGGTGATGGGACAGAAGATGTACATTTGGGTTATGGGGTCATAATTACGAAGAATACCATGAAGCTTAGTGTCTTTAATACAATATGTGAAATTTAGGAAAAATGGTGAAGTGTATTTGGAATTAATGAATTGAAAACGATGGTGTGGTTGTCTAGAGGGTGTGTGTAGGTCAAAGTGATTTTGGATGAAGCGATAATAACTATATGTGTGGGTTTGTTTAGTGCGCAACATAATATCGTGTGAGTAGTGCAAATCTCTTTCGTGTGGTGCAAGGAAATGAAAGGTTAGTGAAAATATTTGGAAGCGTTCTTTAAAACTTTCGTATGCTTGTGTGTCTGTTAGTGCTTCTGAAATAATGTGATCAAACTTTCGGTCGAAGATGTTTAGTGTAAATATATATGGTGTCTTGATGAAAAATTTTTCGGTAATTTGTGGATTAGCGAAGCGATCGTCGTCTAAGAATTGATCTTGGTTAGCTCTGATGATGTTGTGATCATAGTATTCGAGTGTATATTCGTTAGCTCTAGGTGCAGTGTGTGTTTTTAGTGATTTTTTATATCCAACGTAAGTAAATTGTCTAGCGGTTAGTGGTGTAGTGAGTCGATATAGCATGTCCGTATTTCGCTCTATATCGATGTGAGTGTTAGATAAAGGTAAGCAAAGAGGGTTAGTAAAATGATAATATGAGGTCCAAGAGAGAGTGGGCATTAAAACGTATTCATCTACAAAGTTGCGTGTTTCGTTAGTGTCGTGGGGGGTGTTTAAGGTGTATTGTGGGAATGAGGGTAAGGTGATGGCTAAAAATTCTTTTGTGTTAGTATGCTTGGGGTGGTTGATGTATTCACGGGCTGTTCCTGGTTTTGCTGGGAAAGGATGGTTGGGGAACTTTCTTTTAAAAGTGCGGTAAGCTCTATTAGTGTTGAGTGAAGATTCAGTTGATGTGGATGATAGTGCTAATGATTCAGTATAATTTGAAGAGGGTGTAGGGGTAGGGGGGTTGGATGAATTTATTGTGGAGGAGATTTGGTTTATTGTTGGGGTATGGAGGTGGTAGGGTTGTTGTTGGAGGGTTATAAAATTATCTAGCTCTGGGGAGATTCGGGGGGTGTCTGGAGAATTAGATGATTGGTCAGAATGAAATGAGGAGTAGGTTGGGGTAACTTGGGAAGCATAAGAGGGTGTGGAAGTGATTGGGTCAGGGTTATTGGATAATATGGGTTGAAAAGGGGGTTGAGAAAAATTAGAAGAGTTATGAAAATTATTGGATGGGGATGATTCTGAGTCGGCAAATTCATCGGGGGTTTCAATATTCGGGTTATTGAGTTGTGAGATGGAATATAAAACTGAGATATGTGAATTAGTGTCGGAATTCATGCCTGATGTTACATTACTAGATGGAAAATCGGGTGGCGGAAAAGCAAAAAGTGGTATTATTGGGATTGGAGAGGTGAGGTTGGTTGGGTGGGAATTTGATCGGTGTAGGGATCCAAGTTGTCGGCTCATCGTGGGCTAAAAAAATGATTATTTTGAGACTGAAAAGCGGTGGTATGGGGTTGTTCAATAATTTGTTCATAAGTATTATCATCTTGTGACTGGTGTGTCATTATATGTTGGATGGGACTTTGTGATGTGGTGAGTCGAAAATTTGGATTATGTGTGATGGCTAAATTTCGTGGGACTAGGGATAGTGGATGGTTATTTGGTAGGGGTGGTGATTGTGGTGCCGTTGGCGTTATGTCTACATTGTTATGTTCTTCGTCGTATGTGTTTTGTCGTGTTGCTATTTTTGTGTTATATTCTTTTATTTGTGCGTCTAAAAGAATTTTGTTTATAGATGTAGAAAAAATTCCAAAAAATCCTGCAAAGAGTATGCGTGCTACGCTTGCTTGTCTGTTTACTTGTGTGTGTATAGCACATGTGTTGTAGATTCCTTTTAAAAGTGAGAAAAGAAATCCAATAAAGTTAAACATTGCGTATAAAATAGTCAATTTTTCTAAGATGTAGTAGGGCCATCCTAGAAAATCGAGGATCTCATTTTTGAGTGTAACAAAGCTAAAAATGTTAATTGG